CTTGCTTGCTTCTCTCCCTGTGAGAGATCTTGCTGGTGAGACTGCGGACTTCTCTTCCAGTGAGAGATCTTGCTGGTGAGACTGCGGACCTCTCTTCATGTGAAAGATCTTGCTGGTGAGACTGCTGACTTCTCTTCCAGTGAGAGATCTTGCTGGTGAGACTGCTGACTTCTCTCCCTATGAGAGATCTTGTTGGCTTCTTCCCCTGTGCTAGATTTTGCTAGCTTCTATCCCTGTGAGAGATCTTGCTGACTTCCCTCCCTGCCCACAGGATCGCAGTAAATGCGATAAAGGTGTTCTGACCCTCATGTACTAGGGGTCGATTTCAGTGATAAATGTTTTTTTTTCACACACACACACACACATATACACACACAACTGTCTCGTAGTTTTTGCACAGAGCCACTTGGGATAAGACCAGGTGCAACGAAGCTGAGCCTCTGTAATTTACCTTTTATCTTTTCAGACAGTGATACGAGAGTTGCACTGTGGAAGAGATTGGGGCCCATCATGTAATATTTGCAAAGAAATCAGTGGCAGCCAATAATGGAGACGGCACACAGTAAATGAAAAACACAAACGGTGACAGCCTAGTGTTAGCGCACTGGTGATCTTGTGTTCAGGTGCGTCTGTAGGTGCACTTCGGGAACTTTGAACGGAAAACCACCCAGACTCTAGACCAAGGGAAATAGTTTACAGATTTTAAATAATGAAGATTTTTTTTTTCTTTGTTTCTTTTTCAGGAGTGTTCTCTTGTCCTTCCAACAGTTAGCTTGTGGCCTTGTCAAACAAACAAACCTTTCTGAAGATCGATTTAGCCGTGGAAACCTTGGCCAGCAGCTACTAAATATTTCAGATTGCTATTCATAAATCTGGGATCAGTCTTGGCTGCTGGGTTAAGACCACCCACAACGATTGCCGGTGTTGTTGTTGCAGACTTTGTTATTTCTTTATCTTGTCGTAGTACGGATATGTTATGGACTAAAACAACTTCCTTATGGTTGTGTTAACACGGCAGTCCTGCTCACTACGGGAGCCCCTGTTGTGTAGTGGTCAGATAATTATATATAATAAAGAAACATACAATGTACCCATAGTCACTTATAGAAAGAAGTAGAAAGACAAAAGGACACATTAGACAACATGAAATTACAGCTGTAGTTATGTTGTGAAGTCTGTAGGGATTTGGCGCCTATTTTGTATGACGTCGGGGGTGTAGGGACAGCATTGCCAGCGAAGTGTCTAGAAGTGAAGGATTAACGCTTCCCCTATGTATGCAAAAGTTCCCAAGTCGACTAACAAACGACTAATTAGGTTCCCTACCTGAGAGGGCTTAACTAACACAGTTCACCAAGTCACATCGTACAGCTAACACCGATAACAATCAACAGCCAACCACATCAACACTACGTTAAAAGTCATCTCTATAATCGTACATAAGTCTATTCATTGGGACCAAACACAGTATGAAGATAAAGATGAAGTGGTGATTACCTAACTACTATCTGTCAAATACCCCCAGATACTCATTGATCTGCCTCTGAGGCGGTGTCACCTCAAAGGAGAACACCTAGCGTCAACTTGCCGAGAGTCTACAACATCAACACCTTCAGCCCACAGCCCCATCTTTGGGTCACCAGTAGCCTTTAATTAACACCACAGGGAAAGAATCTGGGTGTATGGTAGATGATTGAAAGAAAGCAATATTTGTTAGCCAAAAACTCCTGTATAGCTACTTGCATGTGAGCCGTTGCATTATCATGCAGTAGGAACTTATCGACAGGTTCTGAATACTCAGATCGGACTCAGGGACTCTTCAACTGGCGTTCCGAAATACTTTATTCAACACTAACCGTTTCTTTTTATTTATGTGTAATAAATTCTTTATCAAAAATTATCTTACTGGTGTAGAAACAAAACAACTTTATCTTCCCTTTTGATCTTTTCAGACGATTTTTTCCCTGCTGGTGTTGATGATAACTTTCTTTGATTACTTAGGCACTTGAGTTGTGGGAACATCGAGAAAACACCACGTTTCGTCATCTCCTACATGATAAAACGAACTTGGTGAAGGCTCTAGACTATGGGATCAAATGGGCAGTGCAACAAAACCGGCAGAGAGTCCTTACATTGAAAGAATAATCCAGCGGAGGCAGGTAGAGGCTCTGGAGGATATTTAACACTGTGGGGAAAACGTAGACGGACTTTTAATCGGGTTGCAACTGGCACTGTTAACATGTTGACTCTTCTCTTGCTACTGAAGAAGGGGACGGAGCACGTGTGGGAATGTCCCGAGTGCATTCACGTGTTTATTCATTCATTCATTCATTCATATAAACGAGTAAGTAGAATCTTTTACAAATCCAGTTTTGTATGTTGTTCTTCTTGTTCGCCTTAACCGATTGTTAACGACTGCGGAATGTCCTATTGTTCGTCTAATTCTCGACTTTGAGATTGTTCCAGAGCTTAAGTTTTGCGTACACGTCATTTTTACAAATATGGCCATTTGTATGCAGACTGTTGGTTCCTCACTTGTCAAACAGATGCACTTCAACTTTAAACCCGAGTAAATGGTTGAGCGTAATGACGCAATATTATTTGACTTAGCTTGACCCCGACATTCGCCAGACATTTTTTCACCACAGGACCAGACAGTCTGCAAGAAACCTAATGGTGGTGGATCGCGGCGACGTGGAGACGACAAGAATAGACCTGCCCGCACCAAACCACAAATACACTGTGACAGAATTAAAGTAGTTATGGCCGGCTACTTGAGGTAATAACTTTGTCATTATTGCTAATATTTGATGTCATCGCATTGCTAGCTCTTCCTTTTATTTTTCCGCGGCTTCGTCTGACGCTCATGCCACCTTCCGCAAATGTCTCAAAATGTCGGCCTGACTAGATACCAGAGGGAATTCAGAAATTCTGTTTTTGCTGAACTTATGTCAACATCTATTTTTAGGCCCAGCCCACGCCGGGCGCTTTATTTTAGCAAGCTCGCAGACGGAGACCTTGTTAAGATGGATTTGGAACATGATATAGGGCTCTTGCTTTCCACCAGATTTCGGTCGCCAACCAGGCGTTTATGATGAGAGGTGTCCTGTTCAACTCTGTTTCATTGTCCATAAATCAGAATTATGCTTCAATTTCCTTGTCTTTCTGAGCAAAGGTTCTCAGTTGTTAAACTGCAGCCCACTTGACCGATGTTTCAACATTGTGTGGGAATCGAAGATTGCGAAAGTGCAGAATATAAACAGGGGGGCAGAGAATCGTGACGCTGAATGAGGGTTTGGTAATAGCTCTCCAACTGTGGCTTCCTCCTGCCGCCAAACATATTTGATAGGCAAGGGAGATATGGTGGGGGTGGGGGGAGGGGGTGACCTAAAGGGATCTATTCATAGTTAAATGACCATAATAATAATCATAATATCAGTAATATATATATATATATTCCTAAGTGGGTTATAGGGTTCCAATTATAGGGAAAACAAAACCCACAGCCTATACAGAAACGTGTCGTAAAAGTCGACTCATTGAAAGCTGCCTTCCAAGTCGGAGTGCATCTGCCTTAAAGGCAAGGGACCAACAGTTAGCACACGCGTGAGTCAGATCTATTTTGTTGTTTTAAATATCCAGAGACCATGAGTTGTAAACCCTTTGGCCCGATACTACGGATACCGCGACTCTTCGGCCTTGATTCCACGATTGATACCGTAAATCTGGTTGAAATGTGGCTTTTCTGCCTACCCGAAGGCGTAAAGTCGGACCACAAGGAGTTGGTCACCCAACGGTTGTACTCGCAACACATAGGTTCTCGAACAGGACTGGAAAGAAGAAGTGGACGAACAACCAAAACTTTCTCCAGAGTTTACTGCCAGTAAACGTGAAGAAGAATATATAGATGGGGAAAAATGTAGCTGTGTAACAATTTGTTTAAGATAATTTCCATATACGGTTTAAACCGGCGAAAGATGGACTAATCAGACACTGTGGAACATCTAATGGCAAGATGTGTTTTGTTTTGTCTGGAGAAAATGCAGAAGAAATTGCTTTAGGGAAAGGTTTAAAAAAAAGATAGTGGGTGGGGAGCTGGGAGAATGATGGAAAAGGGGAGGGTGGGACACGAGTGAGACAGACTAATACGGTTACAGGAATCAGAGGAGGGTGTGTACAAGTGTTTGTGTAGCAGATCACAGAGGAGGGCGTGTACAAGTGTTTGTGTAGCAGATCACAGAGGAGGGCGTGTACAAGTGTTTGTGTAGCAGATCACAGAGGAGGGCGTGTACAAGTGTTTGTGTAGCAGACACAGAGGAGGGCGTGTACAAGTGTTTGTGTAGCAGACACGGAGGAGGACGTGTACAAGTGTTTGTGTAGCAGACACGGAGGAGGACGTGTACAAGTTTTTGTGTAGCAGACACAGAGGAGGGCGTGTACAAGTGTTTGTGTAGCAGATCACAGAGGAGGGCGTGTACAAGTGTTGTGTAGCAGACACAGAGGAGGGCGTGTACAAGTGTTTGTGTAGCAGACACGGAGGAGGACGTGTACAAGTGTTTGTGTAGCAGACACGGAGGAGGACGTGTACAAGTGTTTGTGTAGCAGACACAGAGGAGGACGTGTACAAGTGTTTGTGTAGCAGACACGGAGGAGGACGTGTACAAGTGTTTGTGTAGCAGACACGGAGGAGGACGTGTACAAGTGTTTGTGTAGCAGACACGGAGGAGGACGTGTACAAGTGTTTGTGTAGCAGACACGGAGGAGGACGTGTACAAGTGTTTGTGTAGCAGACACGGAGGAGGACGTGTACAAGTGTTTGTGTAGCCGACACAGAGGAGGGCGTGTACAAGTGTTTGTGTAGCAGATCACAGAGGAGGGCGTGTACAAGTGTTTGTGTAGCAGACACGGAGGGGACCAGAGAGATAAACACTGTCGCCGTGACTCTGGTGATCCTGACTGAGGGAGACAGTGTATTCCTACTGCCGTCGGTACGACACTTGATGATGCTGACTGCAAGTGTTGTTTGTTTAAAGAACGGAGGAGCAGCTAACCACACTTGGTCAGGGTTTTGTGACCCCAGTGTAGTTTGTGACCCCAGCGTGGTTTGTGACCCAAGTGTAGTTTGTGACCCCGGTGTAGTTTGTGACCCCAGTGAAGTTTGTGACCCCAGTGAAGTTTGTGACCCCAGCGTGGTTTGTGACCCAAGTGTAGTTTGTGACCCCGGTGTAGTTTGTGACCCCAGTGAAGTTTCTGACCCCAGTGAAGTTTGTGACCCCGGTGTAGTTTGTGACCCTAGTGTAGTTTGTGACCCTAGTGTAGTTTATGACCCCGGTGTAGTTTGTGACCCCAGTGAAGTTTGTGACCCCAGTGAAGTTTGTGACCCCGGTGTAGTTTGTGACCCTAGTGTAGTTTGTGACCCCGGTGTAGTTTGTGACCCTAGTGTAGTTTGTGACCCTAGTGTAGTTTGTGACCCCAGTGTAGTTTGTGACCCTAGTGTAGTGTGTGACCCCAGTGTAGTTTGTGATCCCGGTGTAGTTTGTGACCCCGGTGTAGTTTGTGACCCCGGTGTAGTTTGTGACCCCGGTGGAGTTTGTGACCCAGGTGTAGTTTGTGACCCAGGTGTAGTTTGTGATCCCAGTGTAGTTTGTGACCCAGGTGTAGTTTGTGACCCCAGTTAGGTTTGTGACCCAGGTGTAGTTTGTGACCACGGTGTAGTTTGTGACCCCAGTGTAGTTTGTGACCCAGGTGTAGTTTGTGACCCCAGTGTAGTTTGTGACCCCAGTGTAGTTTGTGACTCCAGTGTAGTTTGTGACCCCAGTGTAGTTTGTGACCCCAGTGTAGTTTGTGACCCTGGTGTGGTTTGTGACCCCAGTGTGGTTTGTGACCTAGGTGTAGTTTGTGACCCCGGTGTAGTTTGTGACCCTGGTGTCGTTTGTGGCCCCGGTGAAGTTTGTGACCCCAGTGTGGTTTGTGACCCCGGTGTGGTTTGTGACCCTGGTGTGGTTTGTGACCCCAGTGTTGTTTGTGACCCCAGTGTGGTTTGTGTGTGAGTATATGTGTGTGTCTCTCTCACTCTCTCTCTCTCTCTCTCTCTCTCTCTCTATATATATATATATATATATATATATATATATATAGAGAGAGAGAGAGAGAGAGAGAGAGAGAGGCAGGCAGATAGACAGAGGGACGGACGGACAAATAAATAGACAGAGTGTAAAGAGACCACATCTGGTGTACTTGTTAGTCTGTGACCCTAACAAACAAGAGAGACTGAGACAGTGTAAACTTGGCAAGGGTCTTGAAGAAGAGAAGCTTAGCAACAGGCGCGCTGCACTAAGAAAACAGCCCTCTTATAAATTTCTAGGGGCCATACAAGGGGAAGGTGGGAGGAACTCAAGGGATTAATCCTTGTTTAACGGCTGAGTAATTTAAAAAAAAATATTAATAATTTTATATTGTAGCTGAATGGCAACAAACGAAAGAAGGAATCAAGGACTAAGTCCTCTGGACACGGGACATTCCCACAAGTTTTCCTTTATCGGTAGCAAAGGAAGAGTCGATATGCTAACAGTTCTCGTTGCAACCTGCTTCAAAAGCCCGTCTGTTTTCCTCGAGTCTCTGCCAGACCCTCTTCTCGCCCCTTGCTAAAGTAGTCTATCAATGTATAGAATCTCGGTCTGTTGTGTAGTTCGCCCTTGCTAAAGTAGTCTATCAATGTAAAGAATCTCGGTCTGTTGTGTAGTTCGCCCTTGCTAAAGTAGTCTATCAATGTATAGAATCTCGGTCTGTTGTGTAGTTCGCCCTTGCTAAAGTAGTCTATCAATGTATAGAATCTCTGTCTGTTGTGTAGTCACCCCTTGCTAAAGTAGTCTATCAATGTATAGAATCTCGGTCTGTTGTGTAGTTCGCCCTAGCTAAAGTAGTCTATCAATGTAAAGAATCTCGGTCTGTTGTGTAGTTCGCCCTTGCTAAAGTAGTCTATCAATGTATAGAATCTCGGTCTGTTGTGTAGTTCGCCCTTGCTAAAGTAGTCTATCAATGTATAGAATCTCGGTCTGTTGTGTAGTTCGCCCTTGCTAAAGTAGTCTATCAATGTATAGAATCTCGGTCTGTTGTGTAGTCGCCCCTTGCTAAAGTAGTCTATCAATGTATAGAATCTCGGTCTGTTGTGTAGCTGTCCAGTTGATCCAGGCAGCATTTACCACGTCTGCTTTATCATATCGTAGCTCACCACCCAGAGGAGCACAGCAGCCAATCTTTTAGTCTGCTCGTTACCCCGCACACCGGAATCTCCGGGACAGACCATCCCCCGGGACAGACCATCCCCCTGGACAAACCATCCCCCGGGACAGACTATCCCCCGGGACAGACCATCCCCCGGGACAGACCATCCCCCGGGACAGACCATCCCCCGACACAGACCATCCCCCGGGACAAACCATCCCCGGGACAAACCATCCCCCGGGACAAACCATCCCCCGGGACAGACCATCCCCCGGGACAGACCATCCCCCGGGACAGACCATCCCCCGGGACAAACCACCCTACCGTAGGACACCAGTTCCCCTGTTCTGAAGCATGCTCTGTGAGTCCTTTACAGTGATCACATGTTAGGCCACAAATATAACCATATCATGGAAATAATGTACTGTGTGGACGATTGCTTGTAAAATAGACGGATATACATGGCGGCTATGTTATCTTCAAGTTGTGAGGAAAAGACGGAGGAATCTCAAGCCCTCTTCTTTACGGTGTGGGAGGGCTTCAACAGAGTGTTCGAACCCGCAAATTAACACTCCTATACCAACACCGGCACCAGGAAGAGATGTGCACACTGGGTTATTGCTCATGCAACACTGGACATCATACATCTACCGGGATCAGTAGATAAATCTGGACATTATACATCTACCGGGATCAGTAGATAAATCTGGACATTATACATCTACCGGGATCAGTAGATAACTCTAGACATCATACATCTACAGGGATCAGTAGATAACTCTGGACATCATACATCTACCGGGATCAGTAGATAACTCTAGACATCATACATCTACCGGGATCAGTAGATAACTATGGGTATTATACATCTACCGGGATCAGTAGATAACTCTGGACATCATACATCTATCTTGATCAGTAGATAACTCTGGACATCATACGTCTACCAGGATCAGTAGATAACTCTGGACATCATACATCTACCAGGATCAATAGATAACTCTAGACATCATACATCTCCTGGGATCAGTAGATAACTCTGGACATCATACATCTACCAGGATCAGTAGATAACTCTGAACATCATACATCTACCAGGATCAGTAGATAACTCTAGACATCATACATCTCCTGGGATCAGTAGATAACTCTGGGTATTATACATCTACCGGGATCAGTAGATAACTCTGGGTATTATACATCTTCCGGGATCTGTAGATAACTCTGGGTATTATACATCTACCGGGATCAGTAGATAACTCTGGACATCATACATCTACCGGGATCAGTAGATAACTCTAGACATCATACATCTACCGGGATCAGTAGATAACTATGGGTATTATACATCTACCGGGATCAGTAGATAACTCTGGACATCACACATCTATCTTGATCAGTAGATAACTCTGGACATCATACATCTACCAGGATCAGTAGATAACTCTGGACATCATACATCTACCAGGATCAATAGATAACTCTAGACATCATACATCTCCCGGGATCAGTAGATAACTCTGGACATCATACATCTACCAGGATCAGTAGATAACTCTGAACATCATACATCTACCAGGATCAGTAGATAACTCTAGACATCATACATCTCACGGGATCAGTAGATAACTCTGGGTATTATACATCTACCGGGATCAGTAGATAACTCTGGGTATTATACATCTACCGGGATCTGTAGATAACTCTGGGTATTATACATCTACCGGGATCAGTAGATATTTCTGGACATCATACATCTACCGGCATCAGTAGATAACTCTGGACATCATACATCTACCGGGATCAGTAGATAACTCTGGGTGTCATACATCTACCGAGATCAGTAGATAACTCTAGACATCATACATCTACCGGGATCAGTAGATAACTCTGGACATCATACATCTACCGGGATCAGTAGATAACTCTGGGTGTCATACATCTACCGGGATCAGTAGATAACTCTAGACATCATACATCTACCGGGATCAGTAGATAACTCTGGACATCATACATCTACCGAGATCAGTAGATAACTCTGGACATCATACATCTACCGGGATCAGTAGATAACTCTGGACATCATACATCTACCGGGATCAGTAGATAACTCTGGACATCATACATCTACCGGGATCAGTAGATAACTCTGGATATCATACATCTACCAGGATCAGTAGATAACTCTAGACATCATACATCTCCCGGGATCCGTAGATAACTCTGGTCATCATACATCTACCGGGATCAGTAGGTAACTCTGGGTGTCATACATCTACCGGGATCAGTAGATAACTCTAGACATCATAAATCTACCGGGATCAGTAGATAATTCTAAACATCATTCATCTACCGGGATCAGTAGATAATTCTAAACATCATTCATCTACCGGCATCAGTAGATATCTCTGGGTGTCATACATCTACCGGGATCAGTAGATAACTCTAGACATCATACATCTACCGGGATCAGTAGATAACTCTGGTATCATACATATACCGGGATCAGTAGATAATTCTAAACATCATTCATCTACCGGGATCAGTAGATAACTCTGGACATCATACATCTACCGGGATCAGTAGATAACTCTGGACATCATACATCTACCGGGATCAGTAGATATCTCTAGACATCATACATCTACCGGGATCAGTAGATAACTCTGGTATCATACATATACCGGGATCAGTAGATAATTCTAAACATCATTCATCTACCGGGATCAGTAGATATCTCTAGATATCATACATCTACCAGGATCAGTAGATAACTCTAGGTATCATACATCTACCGGGATCAGTAGATATCTCTAGATATCATACATCTACCAGGATCAGTAGATAACTCTAGGTATCATACATCTACCGGGATCAGTAGATATCTCTAGATATCATACATCTACCAGGATCAGTAGATAACTCTAGGTATCATACATCTACCGGGATCAGTAGATAGCTGGCGGTGTTCTGACTCTTTAACGTGGATGCAACAATGGGACTACTGTGTCAATGTCTGGGGAGGAGCAGTTTAGTTTTCGATCTAGCGTTATATAACAGCCTTAGCCACAATCATTCCTTTTGGGGGTCCTAGTCTGGCTTTCGCGGCCCCATTGTGAGGAAAAAGAGGAAAGGAAAAGAAGGGGGGGGGGGGGGTGGACAAGAATACAAAATAAGCGATATCTGTAAAACGGTTGTGCAAAAAAAAAAAAAAAAAAATAAACAAATACTCCGAGTCTGGAACAAGGCTTAAGTGGTCGAACAGCCACAAGTTTCCGCTGAAGATAACAGCCGCTATACGTGAAGAAGAAAAAGAAGGATTCTTGGGGATGTATAATAATTTTTATTTGATCAATTCATAGTCTCACTCATCCTCTGGGTTGTTTTGGGATCAATCTAACAAAAAAGCGTCTTTAGACATCAGCGAAGCAGCTCAGATGTCACATCTTGATCC